CCTATTTCTTATGGGAACAAGTAAATAGCTTTACCGTATTCATTTACGCCACACCGGTCATGATTTTATACACTCCTCTCGTACCACATCACACCTTTTGCCGCACTGCCACCGAAGCCCTCCCCCGGCCTTGCCAGCACAGCTCCCGGAGCTCCGGCAGCCTAAAGTCGTATCTAATTGCTGCTGGCAGCACACGCCTCGACCACCAGCAAGGGCTGGGCCCCGCTGGCCCCGCTGGAGGCAGCGAGGCGGCTGGCATCACTCCGCCAGGTCAGGAGGCAGATGGCAGCCACGAAAAGGCAGCCGCTAGCAGAAGGCAAGCGGCGCTCCCCGGCACAGGCAGAAGTCAGAGGCAGCGGAGAACTTAGCGGGGCAGCCAAACGCCGCTGTAAATAATGAAGCAGAAGAGGCAGCCTGGCTCCCGGCAAGGAATTCAGCGCTCGCCGCTCTGCCTGCAGGTTTCGGCCATGAAATGGGTAGCTCCGCTAGCGAGGTGAGCGAGGAGGAGGTGAGAGCGCTCCGGACAGGCAGGATGAAGGATCCGTGTGTGAGTCCAGGCAGGGCCGTCCTTCCCCAGAGGTCAGATGGCTTCCACCACACTCGGCCGTCTCTTAGTAACCTGCCCGGCCCTTCACACCTGCCCATCGCTGACCCCGCCGGGCTGGCTCCTCCCCCTCGCAGGTGCACAGAGCTGCATGTGCCAGTGCAAACGGAGGGGTACGGAGCAGGACAGGAGCCGGGGTGCCACCTGAGCAGGGCTAGGCCACTCCCGTTGCTCTGCCGCGGGCTGTGTGATCCGGTGGCTCGGGCACTGGAGTGGGAGGCTGGAGACCTGGGTTCTGGGCAAGGCACCTTCTCTCCCCCACTGCTGCCCCACCCTCCATTTAGACCAGAAGCGCTTTGGAGCAGGGACGGTCTCTCACGGGGACCTCGAGGGGCTACTACAGCCCAGCGTGGCCACAGGGAGGAGCCTGGGGGCACCGCAAGGCCGAGATCCGGTTTCAATCCAGCTTTGCTCCCTTTCGTCACCCTGCAGCCGGGGCTGGAGCACACACAGGCTTGAGAGTCACTGGGGCGCCGAGCGGGAGTGTCCGCTACTAAACCCTGCCCGGGCAGCGGCCTCTGCGCGCGACCACATGAGGGGGCCAAGACCAGTCAGTGCTGGAGGCCAGGCTGAACGTGGCAGGCCCGGGGGCTCGTGGCTGAGGGTTCCTACAGGAGTGCAAAGGGCTACGGACAAGCGAGTGCGTGCGGTGAGCCTGGGCTGAGCAGAGGGCTCGTCATAGATCAGCTGATCTGCGGGGGCCCGCTGCTGTCTCAGCAAGACGGGTCCTTATTCCACCACGGTCCCTGTGCAGCTGCCCCGGCGTGGCAGGGGCAGAGGCACTAGTGCCACCTCCTTGCCCTCCAGGGCTTGTCCTGGGGCCGGCCACACGGCCCGGCTTGGGTTTGCGCTGAGTCATTGCTTGCTGGGCCACAGGACAGCAGCCTGCAAGCCCTGGGTGCCAGCTGCCAGCTGCATACACAGGCCCTGTAGGATGGGACAGGCTGACATTGACTCTGTCCTTTGCACCAGCTACTTGATTTAACCCCTTCATGCACTGGCCGGAATGTGGCCCCTGATCCCCCGGTATCTCTTCTCCCGCGGGGAGCGCAGAATCCCCCCTTCTGCTTTCTCCCTGTCAGCTG